GTGCTTTTTCAGCATTCAAAGATTGATGACACCGTGTCAGAGCACTGGCTATGAATTTCAGAAGGATCAGGCCTTAACTTAACAGAAAAGTTAGCAATAGTTCTTTTCCTGTTACAGCTACATCCACTTCTGTCGTGCCCAGGCTGCTCACTAGGGCTGGGTATCATCACTGATTTCTATAATCCATTCGATTCCGGTTTTCAAAGTCCCGATTCGATTCAACTTAGCCTCAGACAGTCAGAAATATTATAATTCTGATCATTTATCAGTACTGACTTCATCAGAATTGTGAACATCACAGCAGATTCCTTTGTGTGAAAGTAACTGAGAATAAAACACAGAAAACATGAAGGAGATTTTCCTGGTCTGGCTTTTTATAGCAGATAACCTTAAAAATATTCTACAATGTTCTGCATATAAAGTTTAAATTTCTTCAGTATTGAACAACAGAAAAAATAGGCTTTCTTGAAGAAAAAGACAGTAGCCGACAGCACTGTAAACAACGGTAGACTGGTGGGTAATAAGCGAATAAATAATACAGAAAACAGAGATTGGAGATGGGAAACTGTTCTTGAAGTACAGAGAGAGATAGAGAGAGAGCTAGCTGTGCATGGATGTGATTTTAATAGTCGTGGAAGCAAAACAGCAAAATTCAGCTCGGTGAATTTTGGTTGGAGAGAGACAAAACCTGCAGCTCAGAATCAGCGCAAAAAGACGTAAACACATCGCGGACCGGACGCATCAGATTCGCTAAGCTCCGACAGCGTGTCCGTCTACGGGCCGTCGGGTGAGAAAGCCGAGAAAGACAAAGTTAATTCTGATGGGTCGGGTCCGCTCTGTGTTTACGTCTTTGTGTGGAGTCCGTGTACCTGCTCTGATTTGCTGTTTGGTTGTTGTTGAACTGGTTTTGTGAGCTTTAATCTGAGAATCTGGCGTTTCTGGCAAAACACAGTTATATTTAAAAGTCGATTCAGGATTTAATGAATTGATATCGCTTTATTCAAGCTACTCACCTCCCACTTCCACCTGCACTTTCAACTGGACCACGGCCAATCAGAGAGGTCCCGCCCCTTACTATCTCTGATTGGTTTAGTCCACGATAGGGACAAAATGTGTGTCTGTTGTTGACCACAGGGAAGGTTGCAGATTTTTTTTAATTATTTATAATTTTTTTGCTACCCGAACAGTTGGTCGCACAGGTGCAACCAAATAGTTTTTTTTAGTCGCACCACTGAAAAATTTGGTCGCACTCTAGAGCCCTGTTGGGGGTTCAAATCCACCAAACAGCGGCTATCCTGAGATACCCTTGAGCAAGGTACCGTCTCTACACACTGCTCCCCAGGTCATGGATTGGTAGCTGCCCACTGCTTCACTGAGTAAATGGGTTAAATGCAGAGGACTAAGCATTTTCCTACAGGATTAATAAAGTATACATTAACTATGAGATTCAAGATCAGGCAAATTCCATAATATTCGACACATCTGTAAAGCAGAACTATCAGTAAAATGCACAGGAAGTAATATGACTGAAATAGTAATAAAAATAACTTAATATAATTAGTGAATAGGACACTTTTGTGACATTTGCCAAAATCATTAGAAAAAGGGTCAACACCGTCAGGCAAAAATCCTGATGGTGCTGACAAATACCCTACTTTCTCTCATAGCACGTTTTTCTGACAGACGCCATCTTGTTGTTCATCAGTTGCTTATGGCCTCTACTGTGGTGTTGATGCACTATGGTTGTGACACAGAGTTTTATCAGAAAGGTATGCAATAAATGAAATAAAAATTAAAAAAACTCACCAGAGCAGTGACCTCATGGCATGTGTATCAAACAGGAAGTGGTAAAGGGGTCCTCACAGTGTAAGTTACCCACAATAATTCCTGATTTTTTTGTACTTTTTAAAAAATCTGATGGTGTTGACAGAAACTTTGGACATGTTTTGTCCCTTATCTCAAGAATCACTGATATATTCTCAAAATCTTTCATAAACTGCCTGCTTTTCAGGAATGAGGTGGTAATTTGATTTTGGAGCAGTTCTTGAGCCATAACCAATGATGAGCAGCTTTCCTCACTGTCACTGGTACGGTGCTGCACTGATGCCTTCCTGAGAGCCAATGCAAGCACAAAGAGTTAAGTCAGCAGTTTTTTGATGAGCTTTCAATATTTCCTTTAACTAACGGGGAGTGAGGTCCTTTTATCTCAGGCATGTCAGGAATACTGAAACCTGGGCTGACTGACCTGACCACAGCCTCTATGACTTCAGCATCACTGTGTCCTTTACACAAGAGGCTGACTGGCCCACAGATCTTGACACCTCTCCTTACTGTCACTTCTTGAAGCCTGTTTGCTGCTGTAGGAAACACGTTTTATGGAGCTGTCAGCTGACTCGGCGATGTTCTGTTCACTCTTTGACACACCCTGCTAATTGCTTATATTAACATCTCTTGGCTGGTCTGAGAATGGGTTGGCGTTCCCCGGACAAGCTGGAGGAGGCTTCTCTGCTTGGGCTGCTGCTGTGTTACTGCTGCATTTCTGCTCATCAGACTCACCTAATGAGATGGCTGGAACTGTTTCTTTTTGGCGAGGTGTCTGATGTCAGCTGGCAGTGATGATGATGATGCCACTCGAAGCTGCTTTTTCAAGTTTGATTCAGTTAGTCTTGAGTGGAAGCGCCTCTTTGCAAGAGTCAGTTTTGAAAAGACCTGTTCAAAGTGGTACGTTGTCCCAAACAGAGATGCAAATTTCAGGGCATGTCTCGCCAGGATGGGAAAAGCCTCAGCATGAACGTACAGTTTGTGAAAGTCCAGCAGAGAGAGGCTGTTATACTTAGCTTTGAGCTCGTAGTTGTTTTGCAGCCCAATTATTTCCACTTGGAAAGTGTCTGGCACAGATGGTTGCACATTAAACGGCGTAGCAAACATCTCCAGTTCCTTTTGGATATTCTTCACATCTTGAAACCTGTCATCAAATGCCTGAATGAGTTTTGCACAACGACTGTTGTTGTGATTTGGCGCTACACAAATAAAATTGAATTGAATTTAGAATTGTCCCTATTGCCAGTCTTGGCAGCCGGGGGTCAGTCCGCCAGGGCCTCCGCTCCTGGCCGCCACCCGGCACACAATGCACCCAGCTCGCACTGGAACGTTTCGCAGCCGAGTGTGAAGCAGCGGAATGAGGATCAGCACCTCCAAATCTGAGGCCATGGTTCTCAGCCGGAAAAGGGTGGAGTGCCCACTCCGGGTCGGGGATGAGTTCCTGCCCCAAGTGGAGGAGTTCAAGTATCTCGGGGTCTTGTTCGCGAGTGATGGGAGAAGGGAGCCGGAGATCGACAGACGGATTGGGGCTGCAGCTGCAGTAATGCGGACGCTGCACCGGTCCGTCGTGGTGAAGAGGGAGCTGAGTGTAAAAGCGAAGCTCTCCATTTACCGGTCGATCTACGTCCCTACCCTCACCTATGGCCACGAGCTGTGGGTAGTGACCGAAAGAACGAGATCGCGGATAGAAGCGGCAGAAATGAGCTTCCACCGAAGGGTGGCTGGCCTCTCCCTTAGAGATTGGAGCCTCCTGGGCGCCTCCTGGGTGAGGTGTTCCAGGCATGTCCCACCGGGAGGAGGCCCCGGGGCAGACCCAGGACACGCTGGAGAGATTATATCTCTCGGCTGGCCTGGGAACGCCTTGGTATTCCCCCGGATAAGCTGGAGGAGGTGGCTGGGGAGAGGGAGGTCTGGGCCTCTTTGCTTAGGCTGCTGCCCCCGCGACCCGGCCTCGGATAAAGCGGATGAAGATGGATGGATGAATTTAGAATTTGTTTGTTTTATTTTATTGTGAAAGAACTATAGAGGAAGCGACCACCTTTTCGCACATGCGTAGAAAAACATCCTAATTTCCTGAACCGATCAGGCAGCCAAAGGCAACAACATGGCTGCTGATAGCGATGTGAGTTTGTTTTGTAACATGTCAGTGGTCGTGTCCAAATTCATGGGCTGCATCCTCCTGAGGACCCGGCCTTCGCGGTCTATGTGGGCCGGGTCCTGAGAAGGTCGGGTAGGCCGGAAGTAAACGGCTGTTAAATTGGACGGTCTCGCCTTCGGATTAGCGTCACTGCTGTCTCGGTGGAGTTTAATAAACTCGGCCGTCTGCTCCTTGCTGTCTAAAATATAACAGGACACTGGAGTAAACTCTCGACCATCTCACACTTCTGTTTAATCAGTTTTCTGTTTGACGTTTATTCAGCTGTGTGAAAACCAAGGAGGAACCCACCTGGGGGATTAATAAAGTTTTATTTTATCTAATCTAATAACTTTAATCTCAGCCAAACCGATTTACTCACGAACAAATAAAACACTGAAAAAAGTCCAACAATAACATTTTTAGGTTGTCTAAGTGACTTATATATCACGTTTAACCTGAGTAGCGAAAGTCTGCGGTGATCTGAACATGATGTGCCGGGAGTTGTGCCGTTCTCTGCGGCTTCAGTGACCCTCGAGCTCCCGGCTAGCTATCGAGCTGGTGGGTAACAGACGTGTAGGGACCTTGCTCAGGGGTACCTCAGCTTAACTTTTCACTTGATTCAAACCCCCAACCTTCTGATCCCGGGCCAGCCACTCTACCTACTGACCTATCCCTCACACACGTTTACATCGTTGAACAAGTCTGTGCTACAGAGCACGCTGCATCGCTGCATCGCTGCATCGCAGCAAAGAATGGGTTTGGAGGATTTTTTTAGAAGTGATGAATTGCTGCAGCCCCAGATTACGCCAATGAACACAACATATTAAAACCAGTCTGTGTAGCACTCAGTGGTCCGTGCAGTGACAGTGCTGACATACATGCCAGTACAATGCAGTTCTGCAGCTTGTTGCTCTGTGTTTCAGTCGGACTGTTTAGTTTAGCTGGATTGTTGCTGGTTGAGAGAAACTGAAGCTGGATGTCGGGCGTGTACCAGAGATCCTGCTAGTAATGCCTTCTGCTGTTTATCTTGTGTTCAGTCAGGTGCCGATGTTTGTGCAGATCCAGCAGAAGTGGAGGCGGATGTATGCCGGAGAGTGCAAAGGACCAGGCGTGCGCACCGACTTTGAGATCGTTCACCTGCGTCGAGCGCCCGTGCAGTACAACCACCTGTCCGGCCTGCTCGACATCTTCAAATCTAAGATAGTAAGTGCTCTGGAACAAACATCTTTATATGGATCATATTTCAAGGTTGTTTGTTTGTTTTTAATAAAGAAAAATTAAAATTGTGCAGCCACAGAGCGTCATGTACCCATGTTCTACAAGTATCACCTCAGCATCCTGTTCCAGACGATTTTAGGACGATGTGAATCCTGTTAAATGCAACTAATAATCATAAAAGCATCCACGAAGTGCATGTAAATGTATTTTCTAAAACATTTATTCATCTGGTTTTTCCTGCTCATGTACAGTCTCTCCTCCTCCTCCTCCTCCTGCTGTGCTCTGACAGTCACACAAAAACTGTATTCAACTTGAAAATAACACAAACATCTTATCTTATAATAAGAATATATTCTTGTAATAGTTCGTCAAAGAGCAGGTTGATAACAGTACAGCACACTGCTTAGTTATGTGAACATTGGGAAAACAGAAGAGGAAGAAGAAGACGTCTAATTCTGTGTAAATTCGGTTTCTGGATTTTTGTGGAGTTAATTTGTGAATAAAATAAAGACTGTTAGGAAGTGGATGTCGGTTTAATGATCAGTTTGTTTGAACTTTGTTTATTCCTATTCCTGGAAACACAATGGATTCCCAGACATCACGTTGTTTAACCCTTTCATGCACAGTGGTCTGCAGCTATTCAAAGGCTGTTTTCTTGTATTTGTGTTGGTGTTGATGGTAAACTTGCACAGAAACACTACACACTGATGTCTCCATACCCTTCATAAGTCAAAACCGATGTTGTCCACCTAAGTGGACATTTAAAAAATGAAGTTCAAAAATCTTATATTCATTCCTAAAGAAGAATAAAAATCCTGATTGATGTTGTCATCATCCACACATGAGGGTTAAATGTGTTCAGTATGTTCCCAGAAACAGCCGACAATGACGAGGTGTAATCCACGCCTGTACAGAGAGATTAATGCTGCAGCTTGTTACCATAAACATGAGCTGATGTCTTCCTGTTGTCATCAGGGTTGTTCCCTGTTCCCTCTGCCTCCAGTCAACATCGCCATTCGCTTCACCTACGTGCTCCAAGACTGGCAGCAGTATTCATGGCCACAGCAGCCTCCAGGTAGGCAGTACATGTCATGTCATTAATACACAAATAGAAAAATGTAATATTATTATTAAGAAATTATTAAATTTTTTTTAAATACATGTCAGCAAGTGGCTGACATCCAGAAACCCTGCCAGTGGCTTTTAGGAGTCGTGTGTGTGATGCAGGTCATGTTGTTGTTTCCTGTGGAACGATTGTACCTGCTGGTTCCAGGTCGTTCTTCTGATAAGTCTTTTCACTCGTCTGTCTGAAATCGTGTGGGGAGCGCTTGGTCGTGGCTGGTTTATCGTAAATAAATAAAAACCCTGCAGGGGCAACGCCAGGTTTATGGCCCCAACAGTGCTCACTGGAACCTTCAGTAACTTAGAAGTTCTTCTGTAGCCGATGCCATCAGTCTTAAGTGTGCAAAGGTCTTGAGAGAGCTTGTTGGTTTTACCCATCATGAGACGCTTCTTGTGTGAAACCTGGCTAATGAGGCCATAGTTGGGACTGAACCGGCTGATATTAATTTGCACTAAGTGGCAGGATTGCTCTGTAATTACTCATAAATGTGTCTTTTTGCACCTTTCTTTCTGTCCAATACATTTCCCCCGTGTCATTCTTCATTGTTAGACGTCATGTATGGACATCTATGGTGGCGCTGGGTGATATGAGGAAAATGTAATATCACAATATTTTTTTGCTATATCACAAAACACGAAATAAATCACGATATGTTTAAGTTATTTTCAACCATATAGGATCTAAATTTGCACTTATTCAAACCGACCATTCAGGATGGTTTTCTATTGTCAACATAAAAATGATCTGAATGAACTGAAATGTTTTCTTTTAACCATCAGCTGCACACAGAGGATTTTCACAGATTACAGTATAATCACAGTAAGTCTCTTTCTGTGGTCAACACTAGACTTTAACATCAAAAGATCACAGCAACAAAAAACGACGTCAAGAAAAAAATCATGAGTCAAAATAAAACGACTGAAATGAAAAAGCTGCTCTGTTGTTCTTATAAAAATGGCAAAATAAAAAAAATGGATGACATCAAATTACAGAAACAAGTCGAGACAGTGACTATAAAACAGTTTATTTAATGTTTGCTTGGTGTGCAGGGAGACGTTGACATGCAGGGTTTAAAACATCATTTCTTTTGCAGCGAGATTCATTCTCTCACCGTCTGAAACTCCTGATGTCGCCATATTTTTACCTGTTCAGTTCAGTTCAGCTTTAATTATACAGCACCAAATCACAACAACAGTCACCTCGAGGTGCTTTATATTGCACAGTAGCTCGTACAATAATAGATACAGAGAAAAACCCAACAATCATATGACCCCCTATGAGCAAGCACTTTGGGGACAGTGGGAAGGAAAAACTCCCTTTAAACAGGAAGAAACCTCCAGCAGAACCAGGCTCAGGGAGGGGCGGAGCCATCTGCTGTGATTGGTTGGGGTGAGAGAAGGAAGACAGGATAAAGACATGCTGTGGAAGAGAGACAGAGATTAATAACAGATGTGATTCAATGCAGAGAGGTCTGTTAACACATAGTGAGTGAAGAAGAAACACTCAATGCATCATGGGAATCCCCCGGCAGCCTGCGTCTATTGCAGCATAACTAAGGGAGGATTCAGGGTCACCTGGTCCAGCCCTAACTATATGCTTTAGCAAATAGGAAAGTTTGAAGCCTAATCTTGAAAGTAGAGATAGTGTCTGTCTCCTGAATCCAAACTGGAAGCTGGTTCCACAGAAGAGGGGCCTGAAAACTGAAGGCTCTGCCTCCCATTCTACTTTTAAATACTCTAGGAACAACAAGTAGGCCTGCAGTGTGAGAGCGAAGTGCTCTAATAGGGTGATATGGTACTACAAGGTCATTAAGATAAGCACAGAGGAAACTATTTCTAAGCTAAAATTCATGCATCAAATGATACGCAGCAGATAAGACGGATGTAATCAAGCTACCGATAGAAAGAACATAGTAAAGGACAAATAAAGTGTCTTTTTTTCCTCATTGTTCTATGTGTGGGCCTCCTACTTCCTCCCACAGTCCAAAGACATGCAGTTAGTGGGGACAGGTTCATTGGGGCCCTAAATTTCCCACGGTGTGAATGTCTGTCTCTGTGTTTGCCCTGCGGCAGACTGGCGACCTGTCCAGGGTGTGCCCCGCCTCTCATGACAGCCCCAAGCACTTTACATGTGATGTAAAGTGGACTTTTCTTTTGTTGCCACGTCCATGATTTAGAAAATGTTACACAGATGTTGTCCTGCTTCGCTGTGCTGAAGCGTGTGCTTCATGAAAAGTTTGAATAAGAAAATATCAGGTCAGTAACTGTTTGTGTTCCCTGTAGGTGAGGCTGTGACAGAGCTCTTTAAACTCTGCTGTAGGACTGAGTGTACAGAGGAGATTCCTGGAAGAGGATACGCTGAAGATGAGGGCAAAGGTCAGGTTCCTGGCTTTACTTGTTGAGTGACCATACTGCATTCTGGAAACGTGCGTAGCTTACTGGGAGATCTGGGCATCTGTGCTGACCCGGGCCTCAGCAATTGAACAGAAACTCTTGGATGTGTTTGTCGTCTGTAGAAAACAGTGATATCAGCTCTGCTTTGTCCAAGCTGACCGAGCCAGCAGCAACTGTGCCCATTTCCAAACTGTCTGTCTCCAACATGGTGCACAGTGCCCGGAAGCACATTCGCCGCCATCGACGCATCGATGAGTCGCCCCTTAACACCGAGATACTCAATTCTGTCCTTCTGGTAAGAGTTAATCATGTAACCTGTTTAAAAGGCATTAACTAGTCGGAGTTGACTAATACTTGACTGAGTTTTAATGGTTTCAGCTCATTTTATGAGGAAACTGATTCTGACAGAAGAGGTGTGGATCCCGTGTTAGGAGACGGTGAGCGTGATATTCAGAGCAGCAGAGACCTCGGAGCGTGTGGTAGTTTGACTCGTACTGATGTGGCTCCTCTGCTTCTTTTCACAAACAGTTTTTCCTTCCTGGTTACTGTTGAGCCCGTCACACTCAGCAGCTCGAGCTCGAGCTAAGACAGCCTTGAATCTTAAAACTACAGCCGTAATTGCATTTATGTCTTAGAGTGCTGGCCACAGATATTGATCCCATCTGACAGCAGCTCAGTAAAGCACAAGAGCGTCATCTTAAACAGGATATCAGGCAGCGTTCTTATTTTTATTGTCTACTTCTGGTCACATCCTGCTTTTGCCACTGAGCGATCAGCATCCTGTGTTTTATCATGAAGTGATGACTACGTGAGCTGCACTTGTTTAATTCTTCTAACATCTAGAAAACAACAGAGTTTCTAAATGACAGACTTATTTATTTGTGTTTGTGTCTCTGTTTCCAGATGCTGCTGTGGAGAAGTCTGACTGTAAGAATAACACTCAGCTGTCCAACTCCAGTGGGACATCGGAGCAAGAGAAAACCTCTGATTATGTATGTTTGCCTCTTCACCACTCGCACACTCAAGGTTACACTCAGGTCAGGTCCAATATAAGTTTCAGAGTGAAGACAGGCTCAGTGCTGTCAGTACTTTGTCAGGATTTTTATTGATTTCATGGTCTTTTCCCTCGTTGTAGAACCTTTTCCACCAGCTGAAGTCGGCCCCCAGTGACAGTCTGACCTACCGTCTGGCTCTGTGTGTGTGTCTGTTCAACTATTACTACGGTGGGCTGCGGGCTGTTCTCTAAGTAAATATATTTCTAAAGGTGCTTTGATGTGAAATTATCACCAGATGTCGGTAACAACACTTCCAATCCAGACGTGCAAAGGAATCAAACCACAGATGAAGTTGTGTAATAATACAAAGTGACACAGGGACATTTATTTATTACTTTATACAAATGTTGGTGATGACAGTTCATGGCAGCGTCTGTATGGAGAAACCAGTCCCATCATTGCTCATGACTTTGACCCACTCACCACACAAACAGTCTATAAATCCCGAATGCTCCGTGGATCCTTCCCACAGATTCAGCTCAGGTGATTGGCTGGGCCGTTCCAGCAGCTTTACTTGATTTCTCTGAAACCAACCGTTTCCATTGGCTGTGTTTGTGATCATGGTCTTGCTGAAACATCCATCCTTGTTTCATCTTCATCATCCTGGTAGATGGCAGCAGATTCTAATCAACAATGTCTCCATTCATCCTTCCTGGAGTTATGTTTAATGTCTCAGTGCTGTACGCTGAATAAACAGCCCCCCCCATGATGCTCCCGCCTCCAGACTTCAGTGTTGCTGTGGTGTTTTTGGGGTGAAGCCACCCAAACATGGTGTGTTTACAGCCTTCAAAGAGTTCAGTTTTGGTCTTTTGTGACCAAACTATATTAAAGATAAAGCATATTGTTGTACCTATGCATTACACTGGAGCAGAGCTTACATACACTCAACAAAAATATAGACGCAACACCTTAGTTACTGCTCCCATTCCCCATGGGATGGACGTAGAGACCTAAAATTCATTCCAGATACACAATATAACCATCCCTCCCAAACAGTGGTCACAAATCAGTCCAAATGTGTGGTAGTGGGCACATCTGCTATATTGAGATAATCCATCCCACCTCACAGGTGTGCCACATCAGGATGCTGATCTGACATCATGAGTAGTGCACAGGTGTACCTCAGACTGCCCACAACAAAAGGCCACCCTGGAATGTGCAGTTTTGTCTCACAGCAAAATGCCACAGATGCCACAAGCAATGAGGGAGCGTGCAATTGGCATGCTGACAGCAGGAATGTCAACCAGATCTGTCGCCCGTGCATTGAATGTTCATTTCTCAACCATAAGCCGTCTCCACAGGCTCCACACTTTCAGCTTGATGTGTTTGTGGATATATGACTTTAATTATCCACAAAATCATCACATTCTCTGTAAGATTAAGGTCGACTATTGAACGGCGTATATTTTAAAGTAAAGGCTTTAAAACCAAGTTAGTACAAATAATAATAATGGATTGGATTTATATAGCGCTTTTCAAGGCACCCAAAGCCACTATTCATTCACTCTCGCATTCACACACTGGTGGAGGCAGCTACGGTTGTAGCCACAGCTGCCCTGGGGCAGACTGACAGAAGCGAGGCTGCCATATCGCGCCATCGGCCCTCTGGCCAGCACCAGTAGGCGGTAGGGTAAAGTGTCTTGCCCAAGGACACAACGACCAGGACAGAGAGCCCGGGGATCGAACCGGCGACCTTCCGGTTACAGATACGCTTCCCAACCCCCTGAGCTACGGTTGCCCCACAAACATCACTAATGTCACATAACTTTGCCGACATGTGGCCAACAGCAATGTTTTAATGTTCTTCATTATTAAACATTTGCACATAAATAAGTGACATAATATTCAGTACTTACTTTTGAAAGTTTACTCTTCGGCCGCCCTGCTTCAGCCATGCACGTTTTTTTTCCAGCAAAATTATCCACACCCACCGCCGCGCTATGAAGTCTGGGCTATGGTGGGCAACGAAGGATACACAGACCCATCCTTAAAATTCAGGGCAATGAAGGACGCATTTCGAGCAGCCTTTGAATTGGGACAGCCTTCGTCACGTTTCTGATGTAATCGGCCTTAAAATGTGGCCTTTAAGGCTGCAGACCCTGAATTGGGACACAGCCGAAGTGTGTGTTTCCACCTGAGATTATGGATCTGACCTCAGCTGTTCTTCATCACTCTCATGTTGATGATGTCACTGCTGTGTTTGTCCTCTGCAGAGACCTGGTGGAAAATCATCACAGGCTTGTCTGAGAGGAGAACCCTCGACACTGAAGAAAAGTAAGTGTTCAGTGAGTTTATCTGAAGGTTTGTCATGAATGATTCTCACAGTCATGATGTTTGACTCCTTCCCCTCTGTGGACACATGTTCACATCATCATCATCATATTTACTTAAAAAACACTTTGAAACAATCACAGCTGACACAAAGTTCTGTACATTGGAACTAAATAACAAAATGACATAAGATATAAATAAAAGCCAAATAAAATACAAAGTAAAATAATTCATTAGAGAAACTAAGTCTCACTGAGTTTAAAAGCCAAAGAATAAAAGTGGTTTTAAGACGTGATTTAAAAGTGGACAGTTAAGAGGCTTCTCTAACGTGCAGGGCAAATTATTCCATAATTTTGAAACCACGATAGAGAAGGCCCTGTCCCCTCTGAACTTCCTCCTGGATCTCGGTACCTCCAGGAGCAGCTGGTCAGCTGACCTGAGAGACCGACAGGGTATGTGGGGATGAAGAAGCTCAGAGAGGTAAGGCGGGGCAAGATTGTAAAAGCATTTAAAAACAAACATGAGAATTTTAAAATGAACTCTAAAAGACACAGGCAGCCAGTGCAGTGAGGCTAAGACAGGGCTTATATGCTCTCTTTTACAAGTTCCTGTTAGGAGTCGTGCAGCCGCATTTTGAACCTGCTGCAGACCCGAGAGCAACAACTGACTGACCCCCACATAGAGTGAGTTACAGTCGTCCAGGCGGGAAGAAATAAAAGCATGGATCACTGTTTCAAAGTGCTTCCTAGAAAGAAAAGATTTTACTGCTGCCAGTTGCCTTAAATAATAAAAACTAGACTTCACCACTGCTCTAATTTGGTTGTCCATCCATCCATCCATCTTCATCCGCTTTATCCGAGGCTGGGTCGCGGGGGAAGCAGCCTAAGCAAAGCAAATTTGGTCGTCCAATTTAAAATAACTGTCCAACTTAAATGGCAAATGGTAAATGGCCTGTATTTGTATAGCACTTTACTAGTCCCTAAGGACCCCAAAGCGCTTTACACATCCAGTCATCCACCCATTCACACACTGGTGAATGGTGGTAAAACCAAACAACAGGTTTAAAATAGACTTCCAGGCGTCCCAAATCACAGAGGACGACTCACAGGGACCACTGGGTCCAAACACCATCACTTCTGTTTTCTTGTCATTAAAATTTAAAAATGTTCAGAGCCAACCAAGTTTTAATGTCATCTAGGAATGTCATGAGAGGTTTTACGGAGATGCCATCCATCTGCTTGAGTGGCAAATAAATTTGGCATAACAATGAAATGAGATCCCATGCCTTCTAAAGATGGAACCCAGAGGCAATAAATACAGTAAATAGAGCAGTGGCCCTAAAATTGAGCCCTGTGGGATGCTGCAATTTGGGGTTAGTATCTTGCCCAAGGATATTTGGCATGCAGACTAGAAGAAGCCAGGAATTGAATCACCAACCTTCCAATCAGTAGATGACCTGCTCTACCGCCTGAGCTACAGCCACCCCACAAACCCTTAATAATGCAGATTCTGTGCTATGAAGGGTTTTAAAACCTGACTGAAAAACCTCAAAGATGCCATTATCATCTAGAAAATCTTTCAGTTGACTAAAAACAATTTCTCTAAAACCTTGGAAAGTAAAGGCAGCTTGGAAACAAGCCTATAATTAGCTAAAACTGTGTGATCAAGGCCAGGTTTTGAAATTTGCAGGAACCACACCAGAAGTCAGACTGCTGTTAATAATGTCAAGGACATACTGCTCTATACTAGGAAAAATTATTTTAAAAATTGTGGAGGAAAAGGATCCTGAGGGGAACTGCGGGCTTAATATTGTCATGATCCTGGGCCATGTTGGCCCAGCAGTCTTAGTATTCATGTCTTTTTGTGTATTGTTCCTTATTTGATTTCCCCTTGTGACTTTTACCCCCTGTGTGCCCCTCTATGTATCTGAGAGCCCTCGTCTCCCCTCCTTGTGTTTCATTCCATGTTTCCCCAGCCCACTATGCCCGTGCTCTCTCTCTCCTCCGGTCTGCACCTCTGTGTACTTCCTGTTTTACTTTGACAGTCTCCCGTCAGTGTTGTTTACTTCTGCCATGTCTTGTTATGTTTATCTGTGTCAGCTGTGCTCCCATGGGTGGCCACTTCCCCTGATCATCCCTCTTGTGTATTTAGTCTCTGTGTTTCATGTAGTCTGTGTCGCGTCGTCTGTGTTCCCACCCTCCGTGTTTCCATGCCCAGTCTTTTGTATCCCCAGCCATAGCATAGATTGTTCCCAGTTTAGGTTTGTTTAGTTCCTGCTCTTGTGCTGCCCTCATTCTTGTTTGTTTCTTTCGTGATCATCAGCCACAATAAAAGGCTCGCTTTTGTTTAAGTGCACTCCCGTATCCTCACTTGTGTTCGCACCTGGGTCCTCAACACACTCTCCACACGGTCTGCCACTGCGACCGTGACAGTACGACGCGACCATGCCGGACCCAGCGACACAAGAGAGTGGGATCATCCAGACGGTGGAGTCGCTATGTAGCAAATGGCTGCAGTGTTCCGGAGTGGAGGAACGGGAGGAGTTAGCCCGCCAAGTGGGAGTATGCGCGTCTGTATTTCCCTGGTTATGGGAGGCACTACACCCGCTGATCGTTGACTTTCTCGTCACCGCTCTCCAACTCCGTCCGCAGCCGCAGCTGCCCAGTTTGCGGGCTGCGCCGCCAGAGCCCTGCTGTTGTCCTGTTTCCCCGCTGCTTCGCGAGCCAGACGCAGTTAGGGTCGGAACGGTGAGGCTCACCACCGTCACACCATCCGCTCGCGCCTCATCGGCTTCCGGGTCTTCACCGCGGTCTGGCCACACGGCGCAGCGCACAGAGATGACGGAGGCCATAGACTTTGGTGAGGAAGAGCGGCAGCAGGTGTTACGGGCTTATCGGGAGACGAGCTCCGGTGGAAGCCCTGGCTCATTCTGGAGGAGGAACTCACACCTGTTGCATCGCCTACCAGCCGCTCGCCCTCTCCACCCCGCTCGGACTTCACTTCCCTGCCTCGCCTTTAGCGAGGATATGGGCAGAGGATGAGATTGCCGCTACGTCACCCTCTGCTTTGGTGGCATCAGCGTCCATGGCACCAGCTACCAGAAAGAAGCGGCGCCGGCGCCGCTGTTGCACCGCGCTAACTCCGGTGAGTGACTGTGTTTTTGTGCCTCACGATCCTTCTATGGAGAAGAGGGAGATGAGCATTGATTTGCCGGGGCCGGAAACTATAGCGGAATTGTGCTCCAAAGCCGACAGAACTGTGTTTAGTTGTTCAGAAAGAGCTACTACGGAAATCATGGAGGCCGGCCTCTGTGAGCGGCAGCAAGCAGCTTGCACCCACGTAGAGGAGGAGCTCCGGGGAATGCCGTGGCTCACCCCGATTGTCAGCACATCTTTCGGGGAACACGCCTGGCTCTCGGGGCCCTCGGAGCTGCCAGGGTCTGCCACCCCTCACTTCCCCAACAGCCAATGCTTCAGCCTCAGTGGCTCCTTCAAAGAAGAGGCGACATCCACGTCGCCGCAGCACCTTGCAGCAGCTGGAGGTTGGTGGAACCCTCGTTTCCTCTCGGACTCCGTTAATAATAGAGGTTAGTGACAATCTTTCGCCTCAAAGTCTTCCTAAGTTGCTGGAATGTGACTGTCATGAAGGGTTCGCAGATGCTCCAGAGATAAAGACAATTTCTACATGTGGTGGAGGAGCGATAGCTACCCAGTGCTCCTCAACACCACCATTCTCTTGCTAAACGATGAAAGTATTGATCACGAACTCATGTTTGGTGTGAAGGGTGGTGATATAACCTCTGGTCATGAGCGGTGTGACTTAAATAATGACACCCTGTCTGTACCCGGTGATCAACTTGACTGTTCCTTAGCTCATCCATCTTGTGACTCATCTACTTGTTATGAATTGTGTAAACCAGAGGAGAACAATTCAAAGCGATCTCTGAGTGATGCTCTCACTCCTGTACTCAACAAGCACAATTCACCTGAGTTTTGTGTTCCAGGTCAAGAGAACAGTAATGGCAATGTGGTCTATGCTCTGAACTCTAAGAGTGAATTGTGCCCCCCGGAAGAAGATGGGGCACACATGTCTGAACCATGTAGCTCCAGCACCCCTCAGGGTGCAGGGAATGCTGAAGCTGAGATCTGGGCCTCCGATACTGTCTCTAATGGTCATGTTTTACCGTCAGTTTGCGTAAATTTGGAACCATGTTCTTTTGATTCTTCTAAATCATTTCAGGATGGGGTGTTGGTTGGGAGTACTACTGATATAGTAAGCTCACAGTCTGCACCACCACTGGCAGCCACAGCTCTATTAGACACTGTGTTAGCGGCACCTCCATTCATAGATGACTCAGAGTCTCTGTCTAAGTCAGCTTCTGGTGGGGGGGCTAGCTGGGGAATGCAGGCCTGAGACTGCGAAATACCAGGCCGAGCCGCATGATTCCTGTCAGTCAGAGCATAATGAGGCTTCAATCCCCTCTGACAGCATCACTTTTGATTTGTTTGTGACTAATGTGGTCACTGCTAAAGCTAATGGCTCTGTCAAACCAATCACAGAAGAGTTTATTCAGACTCTTGCCGTTAACCTAGTGCCAGCCGTCCCATCAGAAGGAAGTGTAACTACTGTGTGTGTAAGCACAGACACCGATGAGGTTACAAGTCCACCACATGACTGCAAAATGAGCGTGTATGTGTCTTCTTTGACCAGTTGTGCCGACTTAATGGATGTCCAGGAACCTAGCCGTGAACTGATTAATCATGTTTCTAGGAACGGTTCAGTTATAAATGCAGCTCATGTGGTCGAACTAGCCCCTTTGGTGACTGAAACCCTGTCACAGGTGGACACTGAAGAAACGTCACGTTGTCTTCCTGTGACAGAGGAAATAAACTGTGCTGAGAGCCTTGGGGGTCCACTTTTCGAACAGGGTTTGTCCATAACAGTTAACTTGCTTGCTAGGAATGGCGAGATTTCCGCTAGAGATGGTGCAGAGACTGTTACTGACTCTGGGCAATATTATGGGGTAGATGCTGCCTGTGTGTTCAAGATTAATCAATGTAATTCTGGTGAGGGTGAGGCAGCCAATCTGAGTTTGTGTTTTTCTGCTTCTGAGTTAAAAGAACCAAATACTGAGAATAAAGACTCTGACTTTATGTTTGTGAAGGAAAACGAGAATATGAATTTGGACAATGACAGGCAGACCTCTGAAAGGAACACACACCTAGTACTTGGCTGCGACACCACTTTCTCCCAGACTGCCATGGACATGTCTGTTCTGGGTTCTGAACCAGACGGTGACCAAATGAATAATGTTTTCAGGGGTGATCTGGTGGGAAATGAACCGTGTGATGTTACATTAAATTCCCCAGAGAGTCAGCGGCATCTTTCTTCTGCCAGGGTAACGGCTCAGCCCCCTGCTCAGCTCTCTGTTTTGCCAGGGGTCTCCATAACTGCTCATCCTGCATCTGTAGCTGAATGCCTGGGTGTGCCACTCCAGCACCCTGCAGCAGGCACACCACTTCACGCCACATCAGCTGGAGGGTCCGAGGGTCCCGTCCAGCCTCACGCCACGTCAGCTGGAGGGTCCGAGAGGCCCGTTCAGCCACCTGTCTCCGCTGGAGGGTCCGAGGGGCCCGTTCAGCCTCACGCCACGTCAGCTGGAGGGTCCGAGGGGCCCGTTCAGCCTCCTGTCTTCGCTGGAGGGTCGAGTGGCCCGTTCAGCCTCACGCCACGTCGGCTGGAGGGTCCGAGGGGCCCGTTCAGCCTCCTGTCTCCGCTGGAGGGTCCGAGTGGCCCGTTCAGCCTCACGCCACGTCGGCTGGAGGGTCCGAGGGGCCCGTTCAGCCTCACGCCACGTCGGCTGGAGGGTCCGAGGGGCCCGTTCAGCCTCCTGTCTCCGCTGGAGGGTCCGAGGGGCCCATTCAGCCTCCTGTCTCCGCTGGAGGGTCCGAGGGGCCCGTTCAGCCTCGAGCCACGTCAGCTGGAGGGCCCGGGGAGCCCGTCCAGCCACCATCTACTTCTGCGTCGTCTGGTCCAGCCGCAGCCTCTGCTTCTGCCACGCCTGGTCCGGCCTCCGAGCCTTCATCCTCCACGCCTGGTTGTTACACCCCCGTCCAAAGTACATCCGGTACCTCGGCATCGTCGGCCAGTTTCTGGGCCTCTAGCCAGACGTCATCGCCGTCGTGGTCGGCCCCAAGACCGCCTTCGCCTGAGTCGCCGCCGTTGCCTTCCGCACGGTCGGCCCCCTGACCTGTCTCTACGTCATTGCCGCCGTTGCCTTCCACGCGGCCGGCCTCCGGACCCGCTCTGTAGCCGCCGCCGTCTTCCACGCGGCCGGCCTCCGGACCCGCTCTGTAGCTGCCGCCGTCTTCCACGCGGCCGGCCTCCGGACCCGCTCTGTAGCCGCCGCTGTCTTCCACGCGGCCGGCCTCCGGATCTGTTCTGCCGGCCACTGCCACTTTTTCCGGCCCCGGAACAGCTGAATTGTGAACTTTTGTGCTGTCGCCCCCCAGGTTGACCTTCTGACCTCTTTGGACATTTGCCTCCCTGTTTTGAACTGTTTTTGTGTCTTTGTGGGCTCAGTTTTGGTTCATGCTCCTCGTCTTTGTTTGGTTTTGTTCCCTCCGTCCGGGTCCCCCGCCTCCGCCCTGGGTGGGTTGTTCTGTTTGTCTTGTGTTTTGGTTCTCGGGTTTGGGCTGTCGGGAGCCGGCCCTTGGGGGGGGGGGGGGGGGGGGGGGGGGGGGTGATGTCATGATCCTGGGCCATGTTGGCCCAGCAGTCTTAGTATTCATGTCTTTTTGTGTATTGTTCCTTATTTGATTTCCCCTTGTGACTTTTAATATGCAAAACACACTAACATTTTTATTGCAGGATTATAGGTCCAGGGTGGTGCTGCTCCAGGGGAGGAGATGCCCTGCTGTTGCCTGGGACATGATCTGGCTACCCTTTTTCTTTCAGACAGGAATCTGAGTTTGATGAGTTGACGCATGAGAGTGTCCATGCGTCAAGTGGTGGGGTCCAGAATTAACACTAAACAATGTTTACTATTATTGTTGCAGTGAGTTGTGTGATTAACCGTTTATTTACATGTTTAGATGAGGCTTTGATGGCCTATAAGTGAAGTTCACTGAACTAAAGAATGTGGTTTGATGATTGTTGACGTGCTCTCCAAATAGAAGTTTTTCTGAAATACAGGTGCAGCAGTGAGACGCGAGAAACATTCCAGGCATAGCGGACAGCCCAGGCAGTGGTTGAGGTCAAAGGTCAAGCTGGTTGGGGCCCATCATGAGATCAGACCTTGGAGCCACAGCAAGGACCATTTCAACTGCCTGCAAAATAGCGAGAGACCCTCCTGGATTTATCAGAGCCACTGCAAAGAGGTCGAGGTCCCAGGAAACCCCGGCACCCCCAAGACAGCACAATAGAGAAATCTCACACTTGGTTGTTTCAGTGGTGAGGGGGGAGTGCTGATTGAGCCCCGTAGGGTAAGCTCGCACTTCAACCTCCAGCCTCTGATCAACTCTAGGGCAACCAAGTGCGAGGCGTGACGCACCTGTGTGCAACCATGGGAAGGTGGACCCTCTTGGTTACCTTGACTACGACGCTCACCTTTACAGGACCCCAGCTGGTGCCGGAATCAGCTGAACCAGGAGGAAGGCAGAGAGGATGGACACATGACAACTCTCACCTAAGAGACATGATGCAAGACCACATCCCTCCATGGATGAATAATGCCTGGTACCGTTATATCCACGACAGAACAAAAGCAGAATCGGCAAATACAGACTATTATGTCTGTTCCCATCTACCCAGCACGGCAACATACCCCACACTATATATGTTCCTGGACCAACTCTCAGGGAAGAACTACTCTATGATATTAGCAGAGAAAGGGAACTTTGTGTCCTCTTCAACAACACATGCTGCATTTACATAAAGAAGACGCACATTCATCAAACATGACTGACGCCCTGAATGTTTTGAGACAGATCCAGCAGGCCCAAAATCAGGACTATCCATGACGAAAAGGAGTGCCTGAGAGGATCGTCCACAAGATGGGAGCTGAGGCCAGGAGAGAGACTTCAGGAGGATCAGAGATCATCTTCAGCACAGCAGACATCACACAGAGAGCTGTGCTACTGAGCTTCCAGGAGATCAAGAGGAGACTTCCCACAGCAAGATTTTAAATACAATGAAAGATTCAATGTTGACGCTGAGGAAGACAACTAAGGTGTACGACGTGCTCTGCCTTAAACCTTCAGCAGCGTTGGAAGGAGTCTAAGGATGACATCATGATTCTGTGAAAAGCACAGGAACCAGAAGCTATGGTGGTGATAACAGCAGTTTCCTATGAGGTCTGCAGCTTTGGAAATAGCTGAGACCCATGTTGACAAACAACAAAACTAACTGGTATGTTTGAATGTCTATTCTACATACATTTGGACTCTGGTCCTATGGACAGTGATGGAAACAACTGGAAGAGACATTTATGACACCCTGCAGAACTCAAACCACTCTGCAGAGAGACATGTGATTGCACACCCGGAGGAAGCATCACCAAGATGGGATGTTTTTGAAAATGTTATCTTCTTATTTTCACTATTAAATTAACAATTTCTTTGTTTGTTTGTAGGATGCAGTTTGCCATGAGATGAGATCAATGGGGAATGGGATATCCGCTAATACCTTTGTTAAACTCTGTACTTTTACAGTGATTTAGGGTGATTTGACGTATGCTGAGTATAACAATGTTGGCATTGACGGGCGCCAGAAGGGCAGCCTAAAAGGGCAAAGGTCAAATGTTAGCAAACAGCAACCAATTCTGAAGAAATGTGCTGTGTGAGGTGGACACGTGGATATTCAGAAGTACTGTAACCGAGTCTCCCACAGAGACCTGATCCAGACTACAGCTCACAAACACAGCTCCTCTACTAACACCTCACTGCAGCTGCACGCTGCTGATCCTGTCTGTGATTAGAAATGATTTCAATAAAGTAAAACAGAGGCTCGTTTTCTATGAGCGTAAACAGGGATCTCTGTTTCAGTCTCAGTGTAACAAACATGTTTACTGAATAAGTCTTTCAGTAAATATGTTTTTGTTAATTCAGTAAAATCTGCAAAGATGACTTGTACTGTTGGCAGCAACAAACAGAGACAGAGTGTGGGACAGACAGGAAGTCAGGACACGTCTATGTGCTTCACAGTGGGACTAGAACATGAACATTTCTACACACACCACAGGCAGCAACTGTGCAAACCTCCACGTCACCAAAAACACCCTGCAGGTCCCATCAGAGCAACGGCAGAGAAAACAGATGAAACATCTGTTAGAGAGAAAAACGCTTCGCTGCTTTCTTACCTGTATGACACTAAAAGGGTTTTGTTTTTTTAATAATAAAGGCTTCATGTTTTACAGTTAAAGCTCATGCAAACATGCAGGCTTATTTGTCTGATCAATGCAAAAGTTCAAACATGTCTCTTTCAAGCCTCATTATCAGCTGAGATCATAGTAAAGACACAGACAGGATCCTGATCCATCTGTTCTTTATATAATTACTGTTTTTACTGTAATGTACAGTGGGGCAAAAAAGTATTTAGTCAGCCACCGATTGTGCAAGTTCCCCCACCTAAAATGATGACAGAGGTCAGTAATTTGCACCAGAGGTACACTTCAACTGTGAGAGACAGAATGTGAAAAAAAAATCCATGAATCCACATGGTAGGATTTGTAAAGAATTTATTCGTAAATTAGGGTGGAAAATAAGTATTTGGTCAATAACAAAAATACAACTCAATACTTTGTAACATAACCTTTGTTGGCAATAACAGAGGTCAAACGTTTACTATAGGTCTTTACCAGGTTTGCACACACAGTAGCTGGTATTTTGGCCCATTCCTCCATGCAGATCTTCTCGAGAGCAGTGATGTTTTGGGGCTGTCGCCGAGCAACACGGACTTTCAACTCCCGCCACAGATTTTCTATGGGGTTGAGGTCTGGAGACTGGCTAGGCCACTCCAGGACTTTCAAATGCTTCTTACGGAGCCACTCCTTTGTTGCCCGGGCGGTGTGTTTTGGATCATTGTCATGTTGGAAGACCCAGCCTCGTTTCATCTTCAAAGTTCTCACTGATGGAAGGAGGTTTTGGCTCAAAATCTCACGATACATGGCCCCATTCATTCTGTCCTTAACACGGATCAGTGGTCCTGTCCCCTTGGCAGAAAAACAGCCCCATAGCATGATGTTCCCACCCCCATGCTTCACAGTAGGTATGGTGTTCTTGGGATGCAACTCAGTATTCTTCTTCCTCCAAACACGACGAGTTGAGTTTATACCAAAAAGTTCTACTTTGGTTTCATCTGACCACATGACATTCTCCCAATCCTCTGCTGTATCATCCATGTGCTCTCTGGCAAACTTCAGACGGGCCTGGACATGCACTGGCTTCAGCAGCGGTACACGTCTGGCACTGCGGGATTTGATTCCCTGCCGTTGTAGTGTGTTACTGATGGTGACCTTTGTTACTTTGGTCCCAGCTCTCTGCAGGTCATTCACCAGGTCCCCCCGTGTGGTTCTGGGATCTTTGCTCACCGTTCTCATGATCATTTTGACCCCACGGGATGAGATCTTGCGTGGAGCCCCAGATCGAGGGAGATTATCAGTGGTCTTGTATGTCTTCCATTTTCTGATGATTGCTCCCACAGTTGATTTTTTCACACCAAGCTGCTTGCCTATTGTAGATTCACTCTTCCCAGTCTGGTGCAGGTCTACAATACTTTTCCTGGTGTCCTTCGAAAGCTCTTTGGTCTTGGCCATGGCGGAGTTTGGAGTCTGACTGTTTGAGGCTGTGGACAGGTGTCTTTTATACAGATGATGAGTTCAAACAGGTGCCATTCATACAGGTAACGAGTGGGGGACAGAAAAGCGTCTTACAGAAGGCGTTACAGGTCTGTGATAGCCAGAGATTTTCCATGTTTGAGGTGACCAAATACTTATTTGCCACCCTGATTTACCAATAAATTCTTTACAAATCCTACCATGTGGATTCATGGATTTTCTTTTTCACATTCTGTCTCTCACAGTTGAAGTGTACCTCTGGTGCAAATTACTGACCTCTGTCATCATTTTAAGTGGGGGAACTTGCACAATCGGTGGCTGACTAAATACTTTTTTGCCCCACTGTAGAATATCATGGACATAATACACAGACTGCAGCCTAAATACTGCTAAAAACAGCCCTTTTTATTTTTAAGGTTTTACGTATTAACCTTTTATTATAAGAGTCACCTGATCCTTAGCAGGTGTGTATACAGAAATACACCAGGTCATTATTTAAGCAAAGCGAAGCCAAACTGCTCCTGTGTGACAGATGAAGTCCACCTTTAAACAGCATTTAGATGCTGCTAATGAAACTCGATTAGTGGCAGCACTGGTCTGTGGGCTGGGGACACTGGTGCCACCAGTACAGCGCGCACTTTTCACAGCGCCATCATGTGGATCAAACTGTATTCTGGGTCAAACCTGATGTTTTATCATTTACACTGAACAAAAATATAAATGCAACACTTTTGTTTTTGCTCCTGTTTTCCATGAGCTCAACTCAAAGATATGAAACATTTTCTACAAACACAAAAGACCCGACACTCGCAAGCAATGTTCCCTCTAAGCTGCGCGCGTGCACAATTGCGCACTGCTGGCACAATTGCGCACTGCTGGCACGGTCTCTGCACAGAAAATCTGCGTTGCGCACAAAAAAAAAAAAAAAAGAAAAATCACCTGAATTGAAATTAAAATGAAAACTTTAACGATTCTGTTTTGCAGTGTTAGTCAGTGACTGGCTGCTCCCGTATGGGATCAGAACGAGGCCACCTTATCCCGTAGTCCAGCCAATCACGCGATTCACATTCGTATATACGCAGCTGATCAACGTGGCTGACAGGCTATGACAGCGTCCTTATGTGCGACACCGGTGTTTTAGCAAAGCGGCTGATGTGGAGTGAAGCCACGTTAATGACAACGTGTACAACCATTGGAGATGTGAGCAGGACAGACGGAACAACTGACGGACAAAGTGTGGACTTTATACCAGTTTTTGAATTGTGTTGATCGGCCACGTAAAACCAGAGTTATGATAAAATATCTGCATTGTTTGGTTTTCTTCCTGAATACTGTCGTTGTTTATATTTACTGCAGGAAGAAACGGTAAAAACGCCGTTTTATAAGGAAAACGCTCGAAAGCCTGTGAGCAAAAACAACACCAAAACAAACCCCCACCAGCCTTTCCTATTGGTGGAAAAATGCACCATGTCGACCAATCAAAAAATGATATGGCAACATGACATTTAGTTGTTTAGGAAGGGGGAAGTTTTAGGAGTGACGGCGTGTTTGAGATGCGATTGCCAAGTTTAGCACAAATCTTGTGTAGTTAGAGTGTAGTTAGTGTGTAGTTAGAGTGTAGTTAGTGTGTAGTTAGTGTGTAGTGTAGTCAATAGTTTTGTTGTGTGTGTCAGAACAATGGTTTACAGGTGTTGCAGCAGTGACACATCTGCTGCTGTCAGGCCTGCAGGTATCAGGCTGCTGTTCTCCTTCATCTCATAGTGGACAGAAATTATTTTTTGCAGCGGCACAAATAATTTGTGTGGCATCAGATTTGATGCAGAACAGCTGATTGTTCTGCAAATAGTTTGAAATGTTTATTTAAAAAACACCTCGGCTGCATTTTTAGGTAAACAGCTGCAAAAAACTCTGTTTGCAAAACTCAGTTACTTTTTTGAAGAAGTCTTGTTGTGTAAAAGTATTCTTGGATGCTGGTGTGACCACAGTGCACACGTCTGCTGTTGCTCACAGTGGTCCAAGGGACGCTCAGGGAGTTTGTGTGTTCAGACACGTGAAACATTACAGGGAACATTGCTCGCAAACACTGCTCACAAATCTGTCTAAATGTGTGTTAGTGAGAACTTCTCGTTAGCTGAGATAATCCATCCCACCTCACAGGTGTGGCATGTCAAGGTGCTGATTAGACAGCATGAATATTGCACAGGTGTGTCTGAGACTGCCCACAATAAAAGGCCACTCTGAAATATGCCGTACATGTGTAGCACAATGACACACATGTCGCAAAACCAGTCAGGATCCGGTTCAGCTCATGGAAACAAAAGTGTTGTGTTTATATTTGTGTTCAGTGTAACAAATACTGAGACGTGTAATAATGTCGTGTGTTGTTCATCTGAGGACGCTGCAAAGAACCAGATTATTTTTATTATCCTGTTTGTCTGTTATGTGAACCTTTAGAGGATGTACCTTATAATGACTGAGTGTGTTTATCGCACTATGTTAAATGTAACTGTGAGCGACACGAGGCTTACTGCTCATGGTTACCTCATCAGTGGTGAAGTCAGCCAGCTTGATGCAAGAAACAGGAAGAAGAAAAGGATGAAAGAGCAACACACAGATGAAAAACAAAAACAGACTTTCTAATCGACAGAGCTGAAATCTGAACATGTCACCAGCTGCAGGAGGCAATGCTCTGAACCACGTCGTTCCTCCTCCAGATGGAGCTTTCACTGCCTATAGTCTCTTGACATACAATGGTTGGATTCTCCTATGATACTGTATCAGCTGAGCCTCAAATTCTTATTTGAGGGTCCTCTGAGCCCCAGAGGACCCTGTCGGTACCGTTAAGGTACAGGGCCCGCGGGCCGTGCGGATACCTGGTGGTGTTATGCAGCTGGTGGCCACTACTTGTTCTCAGCAGTTGTCAGGTCAGGCTGTGCTTTTTGAACCTTCTGAGTCCGGGTTGCCAGTTGGGTTGCTGGCCTCTCCATGTTTGGTTCAGGTGGATAAGGGCGTTGCCTACATCCCAGTCACCAATGTAGGGACAGCGGAAGCTGTTCTCCACCCGCGGACCCGTTTGGGAGTGATAAGCAAAGCTACTGTTGTTAGCCTCCCTGCCGGTGTTAGCGAGGAACACTCTTTTCCCGTTACCGTTTCCTCCCATACAACCAGCAGCCCTGCTCAAGAGATGGTGGATACGATTGACCTGTCTGCTCTCGCTGAGTCAGAGCAACACGAGGTACGGTTACTTTTGCGGAAGTACCGCTCTGTTTTCTCCACTTATGAGGGAGACTTGGGCTGCACAAACCTCATTTCGCACGACATACCGCTACTCGATGACGCACCTGTCCGGCAGAGGTACAGGCGAATTCCTCCTTCTGATTATGAGGCTGTCAGGGCTCATATCAACCAGCTACTGGAGGCCCAGGTAATTAGGGAAAGTAGCAGCCCTTATGCCTCTCCCATCGTGTTGGTCCGCAAGAAGGATGGAAGCCTCCGGCTGTGCGTTGACTATCGTTTGCTGAATAGCAAAACAAGGAAGGACGCCTTCCCCTTACCTCGCATCGAGGAAAGTCTGGATGCCCTAGCTGGCGCACGCTGGTTTTCTACCATCGACCTGGCCAGCGGGTACAACCAGGTGCCAGTTTCTGAGCCGGATAAGCCCAAGACCACTTTTTGCACGCCGTTTGGCCTGTTCGAGTGGAATCGTATGCCATTCGGGCTGTGCAATGCTCCTGGTACCTTTCAGCGCCTAATGCAGAGGATGTTCGGGATCAGCAGTGCCAGTCATTACTGCTGTACCTAGACGACATCATTGTGTTCTCCTCGTCTGTCTCTCAGCACCTGCAACGGCTAGAGATGGTGATGGCAAGGCTGCAGCAACAGGGGCTCAAGGCTAAGTTAGAAAAGTGTGCCTTTTTCCAGCAGAAGGTTAACTACTTGGGCCATGTAATCTCCTGTGAGGGTGTCTCGAGATGTAGCCAGATGGGCTACTCGCCTTCCGTTGTTTTTCTTCTCTCATTCTCTCTCTCTCTCGCTCGCTCTACCACCTCGCTCTCTTTCCACTGCACTCGCTCCTTGTATCAGGTGATCGGGTTAATTGGGAACCCACCTGCACATTGATTGCAGGGTGGCGCTAGCCTGTATAAAGCTAAGCCGATGTCTTGTTGGATTAATTCCTCCCGAGCTTCTGGTACGATACAGCAGTAAATGCTGGCGTACTGCGACGGACTGATCAGCAAGAGCCGATTATACGACAGCTACAGGTATGCTCTCGCTTAACCTTGGATTCCCTCCGAATACTGGAATTGGTGTTAATATCCTTTTCCGGCCTGTTGTAGCGCAGCAGTCTGTTTAATTCTGCCATTGCGGAGAGAGGTGTTCGTGGTATCTCCACCAATGAGAGTATAGTGCCTCCGGTCCTGGGGTAAGCTGTTAGAACTACTTTTATTAGCATTCATAGCTATAAGAGTTTAAGGTTACACTTATCTGTTTCAGGGTTCACTGCTGTACTCACCTCTCCATGGTAAATTGTCCAACCTAAATTGGAAGAGTGGACTGCCTTCTCAGTTGCTGTTGTGAACTCCTCCTTGGTGGAGTCTGCTGTCTTGTCTTGTTTTGTCTTATCTTGTTTTTATTAAGTAGGCTTACCTTTTTTTGGGTTCGCCTGGTGTTCTATTTTACCCTGGACTGTTGCTCGTACCCACACTTCTGTGATCGGGCTGAAGTGATTCTCTGCCCGAGTGTCGTGCTGGGACTCTAAATCGCCTGGGTGGCCAGTCTCAGCCGGTGGGGAGCCAGACCGGCCTACGCCTGAGAATAATTATTACCAGCACGAGTGGTAGTTTGACCCGTGGGGAATAAGCCTTTCCGTGTGTGTGTGTGTGTGTGTGATTTCTCTTATTAAAGTTATTAAACTGTGTTTTAGTCTTTTTATGATTTGTAGCGAGCCTGACGCTCAGTGTCCTTTTATTCTTTTAACATACTTTTCTGTGTTTTATTTCAGTGAAGGAGGACGAGCCAGTGGCCCTGGGACCTCAGGTGGTGGGTCGTTTTCACACTTTCTTTTGTACAGCACTGGGTGGTCTGCAGTGATTCTTTTGGTGTGATTTTCTTTTGGTTCCACGGCTGCTGGTAAGTCCAAGTTCCACGATTGTTTATTTTTACTGTAGGACACTGTCAATAATGACGCTACATCTTGACTTTTAATATTTTATTTATAAATATTATTTATAATATTTTATTTATTTCTATAAATAAAACTGTTTTAATATTGGAAGCCAACCTGCCTCAGTGTGCATCCTTGAATCTGTGCGGTCTTCTTTTATTCCTTTTATTTATTTTTCTTAAATATATTTCCTGGGGGTGTAATTCCCCTAGGTGGCGTTGTCAAGTTTATTTATTTTGTGCATAACCCCGCCGACCACTTGGTCACATTATGATCTCGAGCTTCTTCAGTCTCAGTGAATCCTTAGTTGGCTCAGATGCATCATCTGGTGTTTGAGTGTAACAAGGTGGTTGTAACACAAAAGGAGTGTAAACAGGTGAGTGTGGTTTGTAGTGTAAACTAAAGCAGCGTGTCTAACCAACCACATCTCCATCGCTCCACAGCTGCTGAGGGAGCTACAACCCTCATTCAGCCTTTCACAGACATACAGCAATGAACTGTATGAACAATAAACTTTATTCATACACACAAATCCCTTTAGGGTTGTGTCAGCGAGGGCAAACGTGCCGCATCAAATACATGGAGCTACAAGCTGTGGTGACCCACTGTCAGTAAGGGAGCTTTATTACACACACACAGCATCACAACAACAGTTACCTCAAGCTGCTTCTATGTTATAAGGCAAAGACCCTGCAGTTACACAGGAAACATTAGGTGACCATCTGTGAGCGACAGTGGGAACCAAAGCCTCTAACATCCATCGATAGATGAGGGGCAGACGGACTGAATGCAGAGAGGTGTACTAACACATGTTGAGTGAAGAAGAAACACCCAGTGCATTATGGGGAACTTAGACCTATAACTTAGACCTGTGCGCCTTAGCATATGCTACTTCCGGCGCATAGCGCTTAGTTTCCGGTGTGATATTCGCTCCTTGTTCAAGGTCGGGTTTTTCAACCAAATGGACGAATCAAGTGGCGATTTACATTTCTCGAGATGTCGAATGTATCTGTAGATGATGTTGATCGACTTGTCGATATTTTTTCCCCCCGCACCTCAGAGAGAGACAGGATTCAAATTTTATACTTCTCAGTATTTGTATACAGCGCTCCCTCGTTTATCGCGGGAGTTACGTTCTAAAAATAACCTGCGATTGGTGAAATCTGAAGTAGCCAACTTTATTTTTTACAATTATTATAGATGTGTTAAGGTAAAACCCGTCACTACACACTTTATACACTCAGACCGACATGAACATTTTCACACGTTTCTCTCCTGTTTAAGCTCTCAAGTTCAAACCTTCGTAGACAAATAAGTCCAGTATTACAGAAACCAAAGATCAACCGTGTTTTCAGGTCCAGCACATGAGAACAGAGCAGCTGAGAGATAATTCAACATCAATGAATCATTAATGAACCAATGAATAAGCGATTCTGTACTGTACAGGAGAGACGGCACGGAGGAGATCAACAATAGTCTGCAGCCAATCAGGACGCAGAACACAAAGCGCTGTGATTCATCCGTGAAGCGCACACCTCTCCAACGTGCCCGACGCCATCGAATGTGAGCATTTGCCCACACAAGTCTGTTACGGCGACGAGCTGGAGTCAGGTCAAGACCCCGATGAGGACGACGGGCATGCAGTTGAGCGTCCCTGAGACGGTTTCTGACAGTTTGTGCAGAAATTGTTTGGTTGTGCAAACCAATTGTTCCAGCAGCTGTCTGGGTGGCTGGTCTCAGACGATCTTGGAGGTGAACCTGCTGGATGTGGAGGTCCTGGGCTGGTGTGGTTACACGAGGTCTGCGGTTGTGAGGCCGGTTGGATGTGCTGCCATATTCTCTGAAACGCCTGTGGAGACGGCTTATGGTTGAGAAATGAACATTCAATGCACGGGCGACAGATCTGGTTGACATTCCTGCTGTCAGCATGCCAATTGCACGCTCCCTCATTGCTTGTGGCATCTGTGGCATTTTGCTGTGAGACAAAACTGCACATTCCAGGGTGGCCTTTTGTTGTGGGCAGTCTGAGGTACACCTGTGCACTACTCATGATGTCAGATCAGCATCCTGATGTGGCACACCTGTGAGGTGGGATGGATTATCTCAATATAGCAGATGTGCCCACTACCACACATTTGGACTGATTTGTTGACCACTGTTTGGGAGGGATGGTTATATTGTGTATCTGGAATGAATTTTAGGTCTCTACGTCCATCCCATGGGGAATGGGAGCAGTAACAAAGGTGTTGCGTTTATAATTTTTGTTGAGTGTATGTAAGCTCTGCTCCAGTGTAATGCATAGGTACAACAATATGCTTTATCTTTAATATAGTTTGGTCACAAAAGACCAAAACTGAACTCTTTGAAGGCTGTAAACACACCATGTTTGGGTGGCTTTCACCCCAAAAACACCACAGCAACACTGAGTCTGGAGGCGGGAGCATCATGGGGGGGGGGCTGTTTATTCAGCGTACAGCACTGAGACATTAAACATAACTCCAGGAAGGATGAATGGAGACATTGTTGATTAGAATCTGCTGCCATCTACCAGGATGATGAAGATGAAACAAGGATGGATGTTTCAGCAAGACCATGATCACAAACACAGCCAATGGAAACGGTTGGTTTCAGAGAAATCAAGTAAAGCTGCTGGAACGGCCCAGCCAATCACCTGAGCTGAATCTGTGGGAAGGATCCACGGAGCATTCGGGATTTATAGACTGTTTGTGTGGTGAGTGGGTCAAAGTCATGAGCAATGATGGGACTGGTTTCTCCATACAGACGCTGCCATGAACTGTCATCACCAACATTTGTATAAAGTAATAAATAAATGTCTCTGTGTCACTTTGTATTATTACACAACTTCATCTGTGGTTTGATTCCTTTGCACGTCTGGATTGGAAGTGTTGTTACCGACATCTGGTGATAATTTCACATCAAAGCACCTTTAGAAATATATTTACTTAGAGAACAGCCCGCAGCCCACCGTAGTAATAGTTGAACAGACACACACACAGAGCCAGACGGTAGGTCAGACTGTCACTGGGGGCCGACTTCAGCTGGTGGAAAAGGTTCTACAACGAGGGAAAAGACCATGAAATCAATAAAAATCCTGACAAAGTACTGACAGCACTGAGCCTGTCTTCACTCTGAAACTTATATTGGACCTGACCTGAGTGTAACCTTGAGTGTGCGAGTGGTGAAGAGGCAAACATACATAATCAGAGGTTTTCTCTTGCT